ATTAAATGTATTTATTTATCGAAGTCTACTACAAATACAGCACTATAGCAGAGCGAGTTGTATTACGTTGTGTATTGATATATTATTTGGACTTCAAGAGTTCAGCACTCGAGTTGACTCTAAGCAATTAATTTCTATTTTTAAATATAGTTTTTTTAAAAACCAATCGATACTTGGTTATTGCTATATTTCATTTGATTTATAGTTAATAATAATAATTTTAAAACATGTGGGTTAGACTTGAACATGGTCTATCCGTAACGCAGGTATTCCCGACCACATAATAGTTTCACCTGTAGTAGCTGTTGGCTATTGCCTGTTTAAGTATTCGGCATGGACATTGTTTATTTATTTTTTAGATTACGTTTTTTTACAATTGACGGAACGACCACAACGTATAGTAATTGAACTCTTAAACTTTATACTCTAACCCTGTGTTTTCTTTTAAAGGTTACATGAAATGTTTCTGTCCCGTGATACTTCAAATTGAAATGGTCTTTTCGGGAAGGTAAGGAATATTGAAATACACATTTTCAACAATTTTAAAATCGATAGTCCTTTAGTGATGCGCAATGGTGCAATGCCACTTGCACTTTCTTAAATGAAAACACTACATTGAAAAGTCCTGATTTCTAAAAACATTTTAACCTTTTAACAGTGATACCAACATTAACAATGACTGGATTACAACAAGTTAAGGTTTCAATATTAAAATGAATAATTTAATCTATCAACAATCGACCTATGGTTTTCAAAATTACCATGAAAATTCAGTATTTTAAGTTGGTATATTATATTTATCCTAAATTTAACTGGTTGTAACTTGTAATTCAATCAATTTTGGGTTTAGACCCACAATTAAATGGTCAAGTGACTAAAAAAAATGAGTCTTCCCAATGCTGGTGTTGAAAATACGCGATTTTTCTTTAAAAAGGTTATTTGTATTGTGCGTCATGCACAAAACGAAAAATCAAAAGGCTAACAATTTAAAAATCGTCAAAAAATGTTTTTTTCAGACTTCTGCAGTATATGTTCCTTACACATCATTCCATATTTCGGAATTAAAAGGAAACACACTGAATACTCCTGCGTTCATCTGCTAGAAAGCCAAGGTAAAGGACCATTTTATAGTGCATGATGCAAAATGCATGTATACAGTGACCGCCGCATAGGTTACCAGAGCCAATTTCATTTATCCAAGTATCTAGGTTGAACTGGGGTGACCTCACGTCTTCCCCTTTAAACGGCATTGTTATTAATTGTTATATTTCCGTGTCCCGCTCTGTGGTCCGTGAAGCGTGTAAGAATTTTAGTAACGTTTTTTTTTTTGTTATTACAATGTCGATTGAAATTTGTATTCAACCTAAGTATCTACATGAGTATTTTTTTATAATGCCCACTTTAAAAAATATTATATTATAAATAATAGCTTATTATTAAATGGTACCTATAATTAATATTTATTGAATTTATGTTAAATTGTAGGTAGGAACTTTTTTTTTAAATGTCAGTAGGAGGTTCTTACTAATAATTATACTATCTAGCAACCTAGTAGGTACCTAGCTATATGGAATAAGCCCCCAGTACCTGTATATTATATAATATTACCATGTTGTACGAATATATACGATGTATATAATATACCTACAATAATATACATGCTACTACTTGAATGTTAATTATTTTAGATAGATAAGTACTACTGTCTGCAGTACTGGGTTAGTATATTATATACATATAAGTACAAACATATTATTTTATATTATGATACATATATCATAAATACATAGCTATCAAACACAAAATATATGATGTTTAAATGTTTAAAATATTAAACTAGGTAATGATTTTGGCCCCTGGCTGCAGTACCTACGGTTCATATAATATTTTTAAATAAAAGTTTTTCAAGGCCTTTTTTAGGATATTTTTCCAATTAGGTATTTAGTTTTGTACACCACAGCCCCACAGGGTACGCATATTATTACAAAATACTACCTAAATGATACAAACACCGTAATAAATATATAGGTAGGTACCAATACAAAATATTTAACAATGAACCTTGAACCTATTTAAAAGATATTTTACAATTCTTGGGCCCAGTACAATTTATAATTCGGGGCCTCAAATTGTCCATCTCTATTTCTTCAACGCTAACATACATTTTGCTACATTTTCCAGGATAATCAATTTTTAATAAATAATAACAAAATCTATTTAAAAAAAAAATTTAATGAAAACGTTTAGCTCTACATATAACTATATAATTACATACCAATATAGGTACCATAATATATATAAAATATATGTTACCGGCAAAAGTCGAAATCGGGCAAACCTTAGAAATGCCCGGGCAAAACGTTAACTGCCCACAATCCTTGGACAAAATGTCATAATTCGGCTTTTGACAGGGCAAACCTAGTTATGAGTTTATGATCAACCTCATTTGGGCAAAACCGTGTACTGACTTTTATCGTAAAGGCAAAACCGTAGTGTCTTAAAGACGTTCCCTAATATTAAATTCAAATAATTATAAAATAAATATTATTGTACAAATGTAATTGAATACACTTAAATAATAATAAAAATATAATGATATTAAGTACTCCTATAAAAATAAACAGACAATATTAGGTACTTTTATAATATTCAAATAATATTATGTTCTCTTGTAGTGTTAAAATAAAGAACTAAAAATAATAATACATTTATTAATACGTATTATTATATTACTATTATATCTGTGGTAAAGAGCCAAAAGCTTCCTGTGAATATAATGGGAGCCCGAGTCTCCCAATAGACACCTGTATTCGATTCTAGTTATAGAGTCCATACAATCTCTCAGGAGTAAGGAACTTCCCCGAGGAATGTGGCATTACTGCTTTTTACCCAAACTTAAAGCGGCCCTTCGAGATTTTCTCGAACGCTAGCATGGCCAATCCAGGCATGGGTAAGAGATATAATAAAACATATTGTTTTTAGTGACGAATTGTCATTTTACATTTCCGCAGAATTGACTCTTGATACTGTCGTTATTGGTCTCGCTCTAATTTTTAAAAAATGTCTCTCTTTGTGGAAATAACATTAGGTAATTAATAAGTCCTGACCTTGAGGTTTATTTTTTTGTATCAATAAGTAAGTATGGTAAGTTTATGATCGAAAAATTACGAAATAAAATGTTGTAGTAAATATTTGAAAGAGACGAAGGGGGATGTATTTTAACTCTTAAATTCATACTTTGCAAGCGAGTTGGTTATAGGGAAGCTATGGTTCAAATTTCAAGTTTATATCACCCCGTGAAAGAACGTCAAAAAAATGTTTTTCGTTACAAAAATATTTTTTTTAGCTCCATACGTAAGATACATTAATTTCAATAATCAAACACCATTGTCCATTAAACTATTATTAACTTAGCTACATTTCAAAGAAGTCAAATTTGTATTTAATATTAATGAATAATTTTTGCTAACAATTTTGTGGGCATTGATCCCCCCTTTTTTTTGAAATGTTTCATTAGATGACCGATTTTAGTGTGGATAAAATATGTTTCGGCAAAAATACAATTCTGTTAAAATACTTTTCTTATGATAAATCATTCGGAAAAAATTCTGTTCGGACGATTTATTTTCGTATATTATACGCATTCCCATTAGTATAAGTACATTTTGATTTAATTATGTATTTATATTTCTAGCTATTATAGTAATTGATTTTACTATAAGTAATGCAGTACTTAGGTTAAATTAATTTTGGGCTAAAACATCGCGTTTATAACATTATTTAGTATAACAGTATATATTTATATGATTTACTTTTTGCTTATTATTTTGGTAAACTTCAATACCAACTTACCGTAGAACATGATGAATATTGTTGTGTTCACTGGAAGTATATGTAGACAGTCTGCCATGTAGGTAGGCAAATATAGTTTAAAATGAATCTAATTTTATTTTGAAAATGTCATTGCGTATAGACGTATAGTAAAAAAATAACAACATACAAGTTTTTACACCCACAAATCATATTATTTTTAAATTACAACAAAATAACTGACATTTTATTCAAATTTAACCTTTAAATGTCTATAAAAAAACTGATTACTTTTAGATTTTTTGGTTACAGCATAAACATCTTACGAGGAACCTTGTAGGTAATACATTTTCAAGCATTGGTTACAAAAACACTTTATATATTTAGTTAGGATTTTTTTTTTTTTGATTTCTTAATTTAAAAAAAAATCTCTTATTCATATTTACATGGGATTGAATTGAATACATTGAATGATCTTTTAAATGCGCTCTCTGTCGAGGTCTATTGTTCATCAATAATAATCACTGAATGTTCACAAAAGGACTTGTGTTTGACATCTCTCATACCTTATACATTTGTACATGAATTGTTGACAAACGACAAAGTTAATAAAAAGTCATCCATTATTATATTCAGATTTGAAATTAATTACGATGAAACATATAAAAGCCAGTAACTAGCCTACCTAACCAGTGATTTGTATATTATAAAAATAATTGGATTGCACATTATATAGACGATTTCTAAGTTTTCATTAAAAATAAAATTGCTATAAAATTATAGCAAGATACCAAAGAAAATGTATTTATTCATTATTGTTATTGTTTTATTGACATAACTAATTAAACTTAGTGCCTTGCCTTGTTTTCTGTTCTTTTTTTGTCATACAAATAATTAAATAATACTTATGCATTGTATCAGTATTTATTTTAACATGATTGTTAAATTTTAAATTTATTGGTTTTATAAACACATAATTTTCCATGCATTTAATACTATTGAGTTAAATATACTAAAGAGAATACTAAAAAAATGACAAATAAAATTATCTTTTAAATATTTTGAGCAAAATTGAAGGGTTCAATTCAAGAAGAACAGGCTATTACTGCACCAAACTGTGTACCAGATATTTCCATTTTTTACGATATTAGCTTATTTAACAGAAGGAGATATTGGTTATCACACCAAAATGTAGACAACATTACTATTTATTAAAAAATGTAAAACATGTGTTTTGAATATAGTGGAGATAGATGTTTTAATACCGGACCTTTCAATTGTTTTTTTTACTAAATAACAATAGTAATGAATAATAACACATTTTGTACTTTTTCTACATATAATTTATATTTATTACAAATAAATTATGAAGATGATTTAATGCTTTTTTCTGTTTTGTCCAAAAATGTGGCAAGATTAACATCATTTGAAGACAAACCACTAACGTCATGAGTGGATAATGTAACTTGCACTTTGTTATACACATTAAACCATTCGGGATGATGATCCATTTTTTCACTTTTCAATGCTACTTGAGTCATGAACCCAAAAGCCTAGTTATTAAAATATTATAAAAGGTGAAATTAATACAATTATTAAATGAGTATACAATGTACATACTTCAATAAAGTTAGAGAATAAGAATTCCTTGTATATGGCATCTCTGTCTTTTACTAATGACCATTGATTAGAAAGTAATGGCTGGAGTAATTCTTCCCTCTGTTCTTTGGTTAATAAACTCGGCTAAAATAATAATAATAATATTTTATTAATTTTCCAACAAGACATATATACAATCCGGAAAATTAATTAATATACTTTGTTGGATCACCTCTAAAGCCATAGGCTGTGCTGGAGGTGAAAATAATTCACATACACATACTTCAGATATTAAAATATGATAAATTAAATTCTTAAACAAAATATATATATTTTACACATATTTTAGATTTGATGAATGTACTTATTGGTTATACACTAAATGTTTTTTTTGTCATAACCTTTTGAACAGTCAAAATTATTTAATAATTAACTTTGAGGATGGTTTTTGGTAGCAAGTTAGATTTAGTCAGAGAATTTTAGTAGATCAAATGTAAAAAAAACTCCCAGTACTTTTCAAATTAATTGGGAAAAACCAAAACAAAAAACCATAGAAAGTTGCTCTGATAAATGCAAAATCCATTCTGAATGGAAACAGTGTGTCAGCTAATATTGTATGATCATTGATCGTGAAAAATATATTATAATTTAAAATTTATATTTTCACCATCAATATCAGTAATGTGGTAGTTTAACTAATTTTTGTCAACAACAAATACACATAGTATATATTATGGTGAGTATTGTTATTATAATATTTCATAAAATATTACAAGCTGTAACTAACTAATAAGTCAATATTGAAGTACCATAACATGGTATAAATAGATAAAAAAAAAGTAGGCTAGTAAATAGTTTAAAATTTGGGTCAAAAATAGTCTTAAGATTTTTAAAATTGTACAAAGTGTAGAAAATAATAATTTATGTGATAGTGGAATATTTTTATGATGAATATTATTTTAATAATAATAAAATTTCAAATTCATTTAAGGGGAATTAGTTATTTTATGTTTAAATATTTATCGTCAAAAAATTTTAAACTCAATCACTCTTAAAATATGCATGTGGCATTAAATATACTTTTTTTCATTAACAGAAATCGACATAAACATACAAATAATTATATAGTAATTATGTACATATTTTTGTGATTTTCACAGATTTTGTACAAATTTGAACTTTAAACGCTTAAAAGAAAAAATTATGCATGCGTATTTTTACATATTTTATAAATTGTAATAAGAACAACTTATGTGAAGGAATCTTGTTTATTAAAAAAGTTTATTCTTTTAAATATAATAAATTTAATTTTTATTACATGGAGGACAATTAAACAATTGTCTACATGTTCAATATATTTAATCCATTCAACAATAATTATGAAAGTGTTTGATTAGGAAATCTTAGTAAATTTGTATTGCGGTTTTTAATAGGTAACTACTATAGACTTTATTTGGACTGTAAAAGAGTTAAATTGTTAGATGAGGTTTATCATAAATAATTAATATTTTAACTAAATAAATAACAACAAATATAGACTGTCTTCCAATATGCGGTCTTCTGTTGTTTTATGTACTACTTACCTAACTATAAATATTAGTATTGTATGTGTCATGTGGTCTACTATAGATAAAATTCTCAAATTGGTATTTTTATCATTTTATCTTTGTACTTCCCAGTGCATATAATCCATAAAACCAAAACTAGTAATTGAATGTAAAGAAAATGTGTCGAACAAATGAAGACTTATTAGACAGGTACTTAGCTGAGTATTGGTGGCGAGGCTTAAATAAAAGTGATAATAATTTTAATTTGTTCTTAAAAGATATAAAATTATGTTTTGAGGATGATTCATAACAGCTTTTTTTTATTTCTAAAATTGCATTCATTTTTTTTTTTTATTAATAAATTAAAATCAAATAAATTCTATTTTTTCTCTAGAAATCAATTATATTTAAATCACTAAATTTTAGGAGGTAGACTATTCTATACTGCACTTTTTAATACGATAGACCACATTCATTGGTATGATTCATATTGGGAGATAGCTAAAATATATGTATTTCTGGTAGGTACCTACAGTAAATCAATAATATACATCATGATTTGGTTTTCAATATTATTAATAATATATATTTGGATTATTAATTATTGTTTAATTTTTTATAAGCTTGTAATGGATGCCTATACTTAATATAATTTTAATCCTCCAAAAGTAATGGCAGTCTTTATAAAAAAGTATGTTTATAGTACCATATTGCTTAGAAATGATGTACACACACACTTAAGTACAGTTGATATGTTATAAATGTAGTGTATAAACCAAAAATACATTTTGCGATAGTTGACCATACCCAATTAGTTAGTAAAATACTCAGTTGGCAACGGTTAGCAAGTTTTAAGAAACCACCAATTAAAAAAATTCACATATTTAGCGTGACGGGCTGCCACCCTTTTATTTTTATTATTGCCCATAAATTAAGGCCTCGTGGACATGCCCACAAGTGATGCTAGACACTGACCACGCCCCAAACCCTTATGGGATTTTTAAAAATTATCAAGGTTTTTCTTTCTGGTAGAGGAATAATTTATTATTACAAATACTATTGACACATGAAAGACTGTGTCAAAATAGAAAACATTATCAACGGTTTTCGAGCCACAGTCAACCATAGCTGTGTTCAGAGATCTGGCTATACTATCAATACACATTACGATATTATTATATAGTTTACATTACACACCACATAGATCATCGTCTTTAATAACTCACCATTTTCCTCGTACGCTTAGTCGAATATTTAATTACACAACGGAGTACAGGCGTCAGCGTACTGTTGAAGAATACTGTCGTCATTTAGTGAACTGGTCGTAAAGAGAAAGTAGACGGACTATCGCATTATTAAAATAACGTTACGCAATATACCAGTATTTTAATATATGCGGGATTAGAACGCCGAACGGTGTAGGTTATCCGTTCCTAATGTCTATTGAAGACAAGCCTAATTGTTTTATAATTGCGGATATTATCGAGAAACAACTCGGCTCGATGTATTTGCACAGTACACGGTACTTTGGTAACGTTCGACAGTTGTCACTGTTGACTAGAGACTTTGAAACACTTTAATTATATTTTTAAGGTCATTATTTATTAGTTAATTCTTGTAATTACTAATTATAGTTATTATTATTGGGTTCTACACCGCACACCCACAGGCTCACACCAATTTCACTTATCATTTGATACCGCAATTTTCGTTATCGACGCCGGCACTTGATGATAAATGATAATGGGATCATCTTGTAACAGTTGTAACTTGTAACGTCGACATATTGTTCTGTCGTCAGCCAGCAGTCAGCAGGTTGTCGTAGCTGTCGCCACGAATTAAAATTATATACCGTCTTTATACCTATTTGTCCATGATTATATACCATTAAACCGTTTATAATAGTCGATGTAGGTATTTACAGTTCTGTGGTCCGTGTCATATTATACATCATATTTATTATACACCTAGATCTTAAGCCTTATTATCGAGGCTCTCTATTTATTCCTATATGATTATCTGAATTCGTGGTACAGTGACACCCCACACTCATCATATTGTTATATAATTTACAATAATTAAAATATTTAATACAACTACATTATGTACAAAATTGAATTTGATGACATTTGGGTTGAGGCTATTAATTTGCCACTGTCATTATCGTCTTTATAATGATTATCCACGTAATATTTGGACTGTAATACAAAAATGAAATATTTACTCTTGAAAACGACGGCTACACATTATTATTTTTACTGATAATTGATAAAATCATATAATATATTATTTTTACAAGAATTACCATCGCTTTGAATTCAAACGATGTCCAACTAACCTGGTTACGGGAGCATAATATAATACAATCGTACATAAATATTAAAATAATTAGGCATTAATATGTTTTTACACAAATCGTTTAACAAAATTAATATGCAATTCCAATTATTCACGAATTCGGCGAGATACCATGAGATAATTCTACCAGGAATTCTACCTGTATGGCTACCCTGTAGAATCGGAATTGTACTATCATAAACGTGTTATGGTCCGGCATCCACGGTTCATCAATTGATATCAATTAAAAAATCGGAATCGAATTTATCTGTTTATTTTTTTTGCAAAGAGTATTCCTATTGTGTACAGTTGTTCGTATTGATTTAATGATTTCTCCTTTGTTTGTAGTGCATTTGAAACTAGTTAACTGCTAGGTACATTTGGAATTCATTACAGCAGTGTTTGCCCACCTAACGGTTATTAATTAAATACCTATTTTCGACTCTAAATTAAATTATCATCACAATATACGTGTTTATTTTAAAATTCGTCTATATTGCTTTTCAGCAATCATAATACAACTTTTATTAGTAATCATAAATATCACCTTATTTCTATACTAATAAAATGACTGAACAAAACATTTTAGACAAGTCTATGAGAAGTGTTTTTGGTATGTTTATTAAACAGTTTTCCATAGACATATTAATAATCTAAAATAATAACTTTTTAAAATTTTAGTTGGAAATATTCCATATGAGGCAACTGAGGAAAAACTAAAAGATATATTTAATGAAGTAGGACCGGTTATATCATTCAAGTGAGTAATGTATAAATCAGTTTTTATCAAAATTTAAAACTTTGTTTCTTGTAGATTGGTGTATGACAGAGAAACTGGTAAACCTAAGGGTTATGGTTTTTGTGAATATAAAGATCAAGAGACTGCACTTAGTGCCATGCGTAATCTCAATGGTTATGAAATTGGAGGTCGTACGCTACGTGTTGATAATGCTTGTACAGAGAAATCCAGACTAGAAATGCAATGTAAATTTTAATGATTATCTTATATCCTATGATTTTATATATAAAAAAACTTATTTTAAATACACATATATTATAGCATTAATGATGGGAATGCCTACTTCTGAAAGTCATTATGGTGATGCAGTTAATGCAGAAAAAGCACCAGAGATAATAAACAACGTGGTTTCGACTTTACCACCAGAACAACTGTATGAACTTATGAAACAAATGAAAGAATGTATTCAAGTAATATTTATAAACAAATCATTAAATATTTAATTTATAATAACCGAATTTAATGTTTAGAACAATCCTGTAGAAGCTAGAAATATGTTGCTCCAGAATCCTCAACTCGGTTATGCATTACTGCAAGCACAAGTTATAATGAAAATTGTGGATCCAGAAATTGCTAAAGTAATTATAAATAAGTTATGTACTAGTATTGATTATAAATACTATTGACTCACAGTAGTATAAAATCCGTGCGTTGAATTTACTAACGATCCTGGTGCTGTTATTCAGAACTGACTGGGAAGCCAGGTTATAAGATACATTGCTTAGTGAGCAATCTATAGTTTTTATAATCAATGGAACTAGTTTAAATTATTGTTAGTGTCAATCAATATTTAATGAAACTATTATTTGTTATCTGTTATTATAATTTGCATATGTACATAATGTGAAAAAATAATTTTGATCACTGAATAATACTATTATTTGCTATCTATAATTATAATTTATTAATTATATTTCTTAAATTGATTAACTAACAATCATAATTAAATAACTGTTGAATACAATTTTCTAAAATTATTAGTTATTTTATACATTTATTTCAATATATGTAATACATGATAAATTATTTAATTATGTATAACCAAATCATAATAATAAAAATTTGCTTTTATAAAATATAATAAACATATAGTAAGTAGGCTTATATTGTAACTAAAACATTTAAGTGATATTATGATTATTTCATAGACTATGTTGCATCCTGCACATAAAGTTCCACCATCACTACACAGCTCAACAACTTCTAGAGCTCCGCCAGTTCATCAAACTTCTAATGATGGTATGCAGTATAAAATTTTTTATGAAAACTTAATTCCAATGATTTCACCTCTTTCTTAATCTGGTTAAAATAAAAGTGTTACACTAATATAAATAAATCATTTTGGAACACTAAAAATTTTTTAGATAGCATGGATTGGCAGCATAATAATATGTTTCGCGGGCAGAGCACAAGCCAAGATTTAAGACAGCCACCACCACCAAATCAAATGCCGTTCCTCCCTCCGCCACCACCATTGTTGTCCAATACTGAACTTCCTCAGTCATTTATGTAAGTAATATTAAAATAATGTATATTCTAATAACTAATTATTTTAACAATATTATATTATTTAAGGGCTCCAAGAGATTATCCACGGGCACCAGCAATTGACTTAGATAATCGATCATTTGGAGATATGTTTAGAGATCTCAGAGCTAATAATAATTTTATGACAATGCCGCCTCCATTGATTGTACAACAACCAATAGTACCAGAACAAAAGGTACCTCCAAGAATTATTCAGTCTTCTCAACCTCAAGCTCAACAAGCATCTAATCAAACAGTTAAAACAACTGATTCTGAAAAGGTATAACAATTTTGAACCTAATATTATTATGACACTTATAAGTTTAACATAATTGATATTTTTTTAGGCTGCTCTGATAATGCAAGTACTTAAGTTAACTGATGCACAGATTGCAATGTTGCCCCAAGAACAGCGCCAAAGTATACTTCAACTGAAAGAAAAAATTTCTAATTCTTCTAAAAACAAAGATTAAATCTCATTTTTTTTATTTATGTTTTTATAAATTGTTTTTATTAACAGTTATACTATTTAAATTTATGGTAATTAATAGTTATGCTAAAACTATATAAATGTATTCAAAATAGTAATTATAATAAATTGTTTTAGTTTAAAATTAAATTTTGAATATATTGCATAAAAATGTAATTGTTGTATACGAGTATGAAATATTCAGATATTCGGTAATTTCAAATTCAAGTAAATTATGTTCGTACCTGTGCAGGGGCTTTATTTGCCATTTTGTAGGGTATGCAAATGCGGATCTCAATTTTTACTGACCAAAATTAAGGGCTGCATTCAATTTCAATACGCCACCAAGTCACACCACGCCATATCCAATCAAATTATAGGATTTATTTGTGAAAGTAAATATTAAAAAAAAAATATTTCTTTTTTTTTAATTTAATCTATATTACACATAAATCGTAATTTGTATTTTTGTTGGTGAGGTTCATTTGCAATTACTCATCGCTCCATGAGTAAAACTAGCAATTTTATTTCATTTTATAATTATATTTTTAATATTTTAATCATATATTAATATTTATAACATAAATATTATTTAAATTTTGAAACAAAAAATGTTGTTTAGGTACTATCTAACAATAATTTTTGCGCCCTGCGTAAAAGCTTGTTTACTGAACACTTATTTTGTCATTGATTGGGTATTTTATATTTTTACTTTTATCTTCATTATATTAATTTTTGTATTTATTATTTGAAACCTACATAAAAATGTGTTGTCTTTAGTGATTCAAATGTTAAAATGTCATGATTTATATTCATACATTGTTGTACTTTTTTTATAGTAGTTGGTAAATCAAAACACTCCTATTTTGATACAATTTGTTTGTTTTAAATACTAGTAATGCGAGTGAAATGATCAATTTTTGTTTATGGTAATAATTGGTTCTGCAATCTGTACATAGTGATCCGGTTAATATTTTATTTTGCCAGACCTATGAAGCAACTAATATGTCACCAATTTAATACCTTTGTAAAATCTTGAATTAAATAATCATTTAATGTAATACAACTAATCATCAACTGTAAAATTCCTAATTTATGATACAGACATTGTTATTTAAGTTTTTTCATACTGTTAAATTAGTTGAAAAAAAATGATTTTTAGTATTTAAAACCATTGATTAATATTGTATAGTAAATATCCTATTATTTTTAAGGTTAATTGTTAATATAATCAATAATCATACATGGTATAATATGTAAAAATGTAAGGCTGTCATATTTCTTATAGGCCATTTTGGTGTGTAACTGAATTTTGACTGAAAAAATAAATTGTACTTAAAGCTACCACGTGAAAATTTAAGTAATTATAATTGTATATTCCCATAGAAAATTGTATGATCTTTGATTTTTATCCTATCCTTTTTTGTTGTGAGTTCAACAGTTAACGAGTTACGTATAAGAAAAATAGTGGTAAATTTCACCTCTTTACGAGGGATGGGGGATAAGCACAGAAGTTAGGTCAGGCCTTTAAGTATGTTCATTGGGAAGGTAAACATAGTGTGTAGAAAAATTCAGTAGGAGGCGAATTTTTTCCGACTGGACAAAATTTTTTCATCATGCGTAATCTAGGAACCCCATTTTCAACTTATCGTTATACACCATTACATGATTTGTATCAGCTTATTTATTTATTGTATACATGATTTGTATCAGCTTATTTATTTATTGTATACATGATTTGTATCAGCTTATTTATTTATTGAATACTTAATTTGTATTAATAACAAATTTATTATTATGAGTATGAACATTTTTCATGGTTTTACTTATTATCACTTACTAACAAAAAAAAAGTCATTATTGCGTACAAAACAAAATGATAAGTATTGATAAGAATTGTGTTAAAAGATCGTTTTCACTACGAATTAAGATATATATATCTTAATTTGTGGTTTTCACTTACATAGCAAATTGTTTATCATGATGACATGATGATGATACTGCCCCGGAGTTAGAAAACGTTAAATTAATTTAAATCAAATTTAATAAGACTAATCTAAAGTTCATTATTTAAATAAAACCTTTTAAAAGTTTAAAGTTAACCTATATGATGGATAGCCCAAAGTATGTTGACCGACCACTTCATACCAGGTTCAATTCATCAAGTTCTATGGTAAATATATTTTTTAAATTTATTTCATTTTAAAATATTTCAACCTTGAAAAACATGTGCATGGTTTCAACATATTAACACAGATTATATAATTTGTGATATTAATATGTTGTTACAAGTTTGATACATTTTCACTATATAGTATATACGTCATATTACATATACATACCTCTATATAGTAACCAGGGGCTGCATGCCAAGCCCACATTTCCAAAATAATTGTATTATTCTAAAAACATTATAATATCAAGTTTTTTGAAAATGATGACTTAGCCCCCCCCCAACCATGTTTCTGGAGACTTCCATAATTATAACTAAGTCTATATTTAACGCTCACGAGTAATGTTTGTAAACAGTGATAACTTTAGTGATTAATAACAATTAGTCTATAAATTTACCTGTATAAAAAAATTAATACGTTTTTTGAGTAGAGAATAGTTTTATAATGAATTCTACAACTTGATTCAATAATCATAGATGTTTCTTGTAAGTGATTTTAAACCAATTCTTTTATAAACTATTACTGCTCCCATAAACAAAATAAAAAAACTATAACATAATATGTATTCAATAACATCATAACAATCATACATTGAGGGCAGGAATGTAAAAATTATGATGGTTGTTTAGTTTAAAAAAGATTTAGTTTACTAAATAAGATTACCGGTATGTATGAATCCATCTGACCATCTAACAAACGTAAAACATAGCCGTTGATTTTTGTGGCTGTTGGATACATTAGTGTAAATGTTGACATAAGGATAGTGAATATCTAATAGAATTTTTAAGTTGTAATATTTTATAGTTTCATCATGGTTTAAGAACAAATTCTGAAATAGCGTTTTGTTGAGTAATTTGTAATAGGTATAGAGAACAAAAACAATTTTGAAATCGATTGAATTTTGAATGAATGAAAGCAACTTATGTTTTTTTTTAAATACAGCATAGTAATATTTTAAAATTGCATGGTTCCCACAATTTGATAACTCATGATAATTCAATGGGCAATATAGAAAAATAGGTAGGTACCTACTCATTGCATGCAATTGTATGTATTATTAATTTTTTTTGTTTTTATAATATTGTTCAATATGATAATCAATATGACCGTGCAAAAGCTGGGTAAGCTAGTAATTTTTTCAACTGGTTAAAGTTAAATTACTTCAAAACAAAACCTAACTAAATTAAAATATAAGTTAGTTTCTGAAATTTTCTTAATTTCTAACACTGTTAGTTCAAAGCTAGTTTGGTGGAAATAGTGTTTGTTAGAGTAAAAGTTAGAGGTTAGTTTTTATAAAAAATATAAATTTAAAATCTGTTTGTTCAAAGTATGTTAAGTATTACATAAGTTAATTGCTTGGTGTTTCGGTATCTAACTTAAATTATTGGTGACCTAACTGATAATTTGATCAAATGTCCCAACTTTTAAGTAGGTAGGCACTAATACTAATAACTCCTATAACTTGGAAACAAATAGGAATATCAGACAATTGAACACTGAATGTATAACAAAATAAGGAATATACATACAGTATGATATTGTATTAGTGTAATATGTATATCTATCGGCCATTATAATTATAGGCGTTGGTTAACATGTTGTACAAGAAATAGGTGAATTGTAACTAATATAAATAATTAATAAGAAATGAAATGACTAGAATCATGTTTTTATCATAAAATTGAAAATACACAATATTCATTGATAATAAATTATTTCATGGATACCTACTAATATTTGGCGTTCAGCAGTTTTGAGAAACATTTGGATTTTTGGAACGAAAAAATAATAATTAGTTACTTAATGTTATAAATGAGTTCGATTAGATTATTTTACACATTAAATTCAACTAATTAAGTTACAAAGTCAATATGAATTAAAACTATCTAGTTAAATCAGAAAGTTTACTTTAAAAGTCAATCGATTTATATAATTATCAAAAAGTATATTATTATATTTTTTCCCGAAACACTTGCCAAAAACTTTGAAGTTATATTTTATTAAGGCTGTACCCATACATTATATTATGTATATTGAATACATCTAACACAAACTAATTCTATCTAATAATTAATACCATTGTATATGTTTATGAGATTGAGACTCCAGTAAAGTTCTGAATTAATGATTTAATTGCAGATAAAAAAAAAATAACCTGGGTTAAAAACCTTTTTTTTTTGTAAAGAGGCCTGATGATGCCAGGGCCTCCTATAATTAGCCAGACCGACACTGCATTTCAGCCCAAAAAATGTTTCTGTTGTAGTTATACGACACAATGACATATACGTTTGTAGGATGGAGACAACTCGATAATTTTATTGATTTGATAAATGACTAAGTAGTAAGAAGTGTCAAATGAGACAAATATGTGGGTTCTGAGTGCTGATGTCTCGTTATAACAGTTAACTTGATTATTGGTTATTTGCTTGTAACTGTTATTAACAATAGCCTTTTTCCTCTTTTGTATATTTTATGTTAAATTATCAATTGATCCTAATAATATTTTATTTGTTTTTATAATGCACATCGATTAAACCTTGAACTCCTATGAGCTGTCAATGTTAAAACTCAATATGTTTAAAAAATACTTGTAGCGACTAAGAAGTACTCTAATAGAGACTTTAACATGAATATGTCATTGTCAATACATACAAATATTTTAAGTCCAATTTGTTAACCTATTGAGTGCCATATTAATTTTTGACAGTGGCCTTTACTAGACTATTTTTAGATTTTTCTTCTAATATTTTATTATTTGTATGAACTCAATAATAAAATGATTAAAAATGAAAATAAAATATTTGGACAATAAACAACCAATTTTTTTTACTTTTTTGCTTCTGAAATACATGAAACAAAGAGGGACAAATTCATTAGGAACTGAATAAGAAATACCAATTTTGGAAAAAATTACATTTTCAAGTTCTGTGAGGAAAGATTGAATTAGTTTATGAACATGAGCTTGGAGTTGAATAATATTTAAGTGCTCAATACTAATAGTAACTACTAATTTTAAATAAATAAATAACAGTCTACAGATCTATTATTTATAAGTAAAACATATAATATTATGAATGTACAAAATTTTATTTGTTTTAATAATTGAGATAAAATTATAAATTTCTAATAAAAAGTTAATTGGCAGTCATTATTAAATAATTAAAAATTTATTATTTTTGGCCTAATTGAACTGTTTAATTTATTTAAAGCTGAACCTAATATTATAAATATTATAAATATTATAAAAAAAATAATGCTAAAATATAATTAATTTAATAAGTCAGTATAAATAAAATAATTATTAAGAATTTTAACCTTTTAAATTATACTTGACCAGAATATTATCGTCTGTAACGTTGTTTTTTACTTTTCGATTCATTTGAACTAGAAGAACTATTTCGTTTCGTTTTGTGCTTTCTGGAATATGAGTGACGTGATACCGGCGATCGACTTCTTCTTGATCTAAAATTATGTGGAGATCTTCTATCGTAATGTCTTGAATGTGACCTACTCCTATATCTTGAATGCGACCTACTACTCTTTGATATTGAATGAGATCTACTTCTATTTCTAGAACGCGATCTTCGCTTTTTCTTTTCTGCTTTAGTTTTGCTGTTTGAAGATTTTGATTTAATTTTATCGCTTTTCTTATTTCTGTTTTTATAATTAGTACTATCGCTCTTCTTACTAACACTACTACTGCTTGATGAATAAGAACTTGATGATCTTTTGGATTTAGATTTCTTTTTTTTTTGTCCATTTTTTATATTCAAATCATTAGATAATTCTTTTTTGATTTTATCATGTCCCTTGACCATCTTCTGGCTTGATCCTTCATCCTCAGTACGCCCTGAAATTCAAGATTGTAAATTTTCTCATCATTATTTTAAGAATAATGAATTCAATTCTATAAATACAATGTTAATATTTTATGAATATTTTTATTAGCATATTATATATTATGTACTTGTAATAATTTATACTTATTATTAAAGTTTTAAAAAAAATTCCTAATACAAGCAATTACTAAATAGTAATCAAATATATTATATTGTATATTTTAAATATTATTAATTGATATTCAATTATTTTTTACTTTGAGATTATTGAATATTAAACTACAAACACGTTCAATGTACACAATGGTTTTCATAAAATTAGTAAAATATAATTTTACCTTTTGTCTGAATGTTTTCCACTACCTGACTACCATTATCATTAGTATCCCCACTGAGTTTGATACTATTATCAAATTTAGATCTCACAAGTTTTTCTCGGTCTTCTAGCTGATCCAATTCTATGAGTATTCTTGCTTCAATATAACTGAACTCACGTTGACGTTTCAATATTCTTTCCTAAAAATATTATCAATTATAAATATTTAAAAAATTACATTTGGTGATTATAAATTAATTTAATCAATTGAAGTAAAAATATAATTTACTTGAATAGCTTCATCAGAATCAGGTTTTAATTGTCTATGACCATATATTTTCTGTTCTCCATCACTTTCATCAGATGATCCAGATTCTGAACCATAAACTCCAAGCCCTTTAGAAAAAGTTATTATTTATTGCAAATTAACATACACAAAAGGAAAATTTATTTGTAGATGATGCATAACATAAAACAAAATAAAAAGTATAAAAAAATAATATTTAATTATTTATTTGATTTATTGATGATTGTCTATAGCTTCACAATATGTATCTCAATGCAAATTCAAGTAATGGAATTACCACATTAATGAATTGCATATTATTGTTATATAATAATTTCAAAAACTTACCCAGCTTACCAGCTAATGATGTTTGGTTTTGATTCCCTTGAATATCTGTTACATTGTAATTTTGATAATAATACATTTTAAAAAGAAATTAAAAATATAAAATAAATAAATTTTTTTCATACATTTAATTACTAATTTACTTACGCTATGAAACTACTTTGTGTAGAGTTATAATTATTAATAAATATTACCTGTTTGTGAAGTAGTTTTCAGCACATCTTTAACTATATTTAACATCATATCATTAGTAACATCCATTAACAATTTTGTTAGAATTTTCCGTAGACTTAACATCTGAAATAATTTCATTCAAATACAATTACTATTATATTTTAAAATACAAATATCAGAAACAATAGAACACTTAATTAGTTCTATTTATTGTAAATACTAGTAAATGTTAAAAACTGTATTACCGTATCTTCCCAGATTTGAGCTTTAGTCTTACGTGGAATGAGAGGTGTTGGGTCATTTTTCACATACTCAGTTTTCCTGGGTTCAGTATCATTTATATAATCAGAAGAAACCGGTTCAATATCATCAACATCAACCATTTGCGCTTCATGGTCAAAATTATTGGGTGACTAAGAAAATTATTAATTATTAAAACATATTTTAATATTAAAAACGTGAAAAATAAAAAAAAATGTTTACATTGGGCACTTCTTGAGTAACATTTTCATTTGTGTAACTAGAATAATCAGGTTCGCTAAAAGACTGTTCTTGCTCAATTTTTCTTCGTTTTTCTCTTTCCATTTTTTCTAGTCCCTCACGAATCCAAGCAGGTAATTGCTTTCGTTTTGCTGCATCTGATAAATTACAAGCCAAAAATATTATTATAATAAAAGAAAAAGAGACTACATTGCAATATTAATTTAGGAGTAGAAAAAATTCAGAGCTGGAACATATTAAAATACAGTAAAGTACATACAATATGTTAAAAGTATAAAAGTATTTATATGTTTTTATTATTGCTGCATTGGACAGCAACTATTAGGTATAATAAATTTATATTGATAAGTGATAAACACAGACATTTTATCATATATTTATTTATAAGTTGATCTTTATTAAAATTAAAATTAAATATAAATTGCTCAAGACCAATAAGTGATTCGTTTTAGTAATTTATTTATTAAAGAAATATTATAGATGTGTCTAGCTGGGATTGTTTTTGACAATGTAGTGATTTATTTATTATTGTTTTTTTTAAAAAGGTATTTTGTAGTTGAACTGAAGTTTATGTTAACAGTGAACACTTCAATAGCTTAATACATAATTAAAAACTATATATTAGGTACATACACAAAAAAGTTATAAATAAAGTGGATGTAATAAAATCAAATTAGTTAAAAATTAAAACCAACATGTTAGGTACTTATTCAAAATATTGAATTTTAAATTTCAAAGAAAAAAATGTTTATGTATATTTTAACTAAGTGTTGTACAAGAAATGTATAGGTATACCATTTTATACATAAAAATCACAAACACTGAGAATAATACAAATTGATACATACCCATAAATGATGGATCTTGAGTTCTATCATCTACATTGGGAATCATATTAAGTTTACTCCATTGATCTGGTTCAGTAGGCGGAGGAACACTAGTATTGGGTCCTGCCCAATAATTCTAAAAAAAAAAAGGATGAATAATAAAAAATTATTTAATATTTAAAATTACAAAACCTTACATTGGGTAGAAATGGTTTGTTTGGTGTCATCATAGGGAAAGATGGAGGTGGTTCAGATAATATAGGAGGTGTAATGAAAGGGGGTCTAAGTGGATTAACTGAATCCATAATAGGTGCTTTAGTTGGTTGAGTTGTTGAAGAAGATGCCCAATTCCAATTCCATTGTTGTTGTTGCTGCCAAGTCCACGTATTCCAAGCACTAGGTTTTTCAATATTATTTCCTGTTAAAAAAATGTTTACAGAAGTTGTTCACGTTAGTTATTGGTTATCTACAAACGTGTAACTGGACTGGCAATATTATGATCACTAAATGTTTTATTTGTTGCTGCTGCTGCTGCTACGTTTGAAGGATTCTGAGGTAGTACATGCAGGCTAGGCAAAGTGTGTTCAGAAGTCGGAATCCTAACTTGTTGTCCAGGGGGCATTGTGGGTGGAGTTTCTTTCATTTTGATCCATTGTTGAGCCAAACTCGCCCAGTCCACTAGAAGATATACATTTGTCTTAAATATAATCTTTACAACATGCATTTCACCGTGTATGCATACCTTGTTCATTTGTCATGTTTTTATACATAGCAGGATTCATATTCATCCATTGATTTCCATAAGCCATGTTTGTTGACGATGGATCCGACCACATAACCACCTCAAATGCGATTGAATCAAGATAACTTTGTTAATATCTAATCTCAAAGTCAAGGGATTTATAGTTCATGAAGTCTCAAACCAGTACACCTAATGTCAAATGACATATTTTAAACACGAGTAACTATTACATACGAGCTTAATGTTATGACGTCAAAAACAATTTCAACGTCTCACTAAGTCAAAAAAGGCGCCTAGGACTGTCAATTACGTCAACGATGTCACACCGCCGAACGTGTGATGTGGCACAGCATTGTTTCCAAATTCGTATTAGAATTACGTCCGACAATTTTAACTTTAGTTTCAATCGGTTTGGTCGGTAAACGAACGACAGCGTTAATACAGAGTACTGAGTTGCGAATTGCAGTCATATAGTAAATTATAGAGTGATTAGTAGTCAACACTCAACATTTAACATTAAACAATAAACTCAAAAGACTAATTATCATTCGTCTTTAACGAACAAATAATGTAAACGTAGTCTCGAATCGAACACTAAGTAAGATAGTGAGAAACACTTCAATGAGGGCAGTGAGGCTTGCGGATTACGATTTACGGCACTACGGTAGTCAGACGCCAGTACGGCACACGCATTATCAAATTCGATAAGAAAATGCCGACGTACCACGGTAGTGTGGTACAAAAATCTCGGTCTCGTCTATAATCCATTTTGATAATAAGATATACCAGGTCATCTAGGTATCATAGAGGGTACCTAAAGGACAGGAAATCAGATTCTTGCCAACGTTTTACCGTACTATATAGTATGAGGAATAATAAATAATATTTTTTATGCTTTGATTTGTTTGAACAGAAGGATGGATATCGTAAGGGCCTGGCGCTGTATAGTAATATTATTATTATAAATGTTGTAATAACAAACAAAACATACAAACTAGACATACCATTGGTCGTCCGTAGTCCGTGATAAGTCCATGATAGGTTCGTGACACCGAATATGACGTCTATATTAAATTAAATTTTAAAAATAATAAATAATAATTTACTTAATACATTTTAAGGTACTGTATAGAAATTTGTGGTCCGTGATAGTACGCGGCTTACTTCGTGAACAGACTTAACCATGGTTTAGGCTCATAGCGTTAACAACAAATGTTTGTTCGTGATCACTGTTTACAACAAACGGACCGTCTGAAATTCTCCGAAAAATCGATTTTTTCTCACGGTGTGCCGTGTTAACAAATGATACCACCGGACACCAAATAGGATTTTATTTCATTTTTCTCCGTGTCCCGTGCGGTTGCTAAGGTTCAATTATTGGTTCATGATAAAATTCAAACTTCAATTTTAGAACTTTCGATATATTTTAGTTTTAAATATTACATATTAGTAACTTGATTGGTATTTGTTTTTATTCCACATTTACACTGTGCATTAGCATTATTGCAGTGTAACAGTTGTGTAGTATACACTACATTATTATATTTTCTACAAAATGATACAACACATTTTTACTATACATTAGGTGTATTCATATTTTTATTTTATAATATGATATAAATTATTAAGTACGTATCTAAAATGACTCCATTTACACGTGTACAGGTAACTACTACTATTACCTAATTTTCAAATACTTGAATAATAATAATTTATAAAATATAAATTTGTTATAATATTATGTATCCTTAACCTGCCTATACACTTATATGTTATGCTAATGCTATTTATTTCAGGTTGAAAAATGTGTGAACTGTTCAGCCTATTATCCTGCTAAATCAGACCATCAATGTTTGCCAGTGACTGTTACTGTTGTCGCGCCTAGTAAATATATAATTATTTCAAATTCTTTATTGGTATAATTTAGGCAATATATTGCAGTGTTTGGAAAAAATGTCGTTCATGAACCCACGTTTACATGTTCATGTTTGTATTTAGTGAATGATACGCAAGCGTCACTATTTTTTTTAAAATTGACTTGAAGTATGTTTATATTTTAATGAATTTGAACTATTTTTAAGACGCTCAATTTATTTATCATTTATTAAATACATGTTTAAAATATATTGAATAATTACATTGTGTAATAATATTTTCTTATAATAATTCTCATTATAAAAAAATTAAAAACTTAAACTATCAACCTGGTGAACATATTCATTTTTTTAATGAGCGTTTCGAACACTGATATATTGTCCTATGCTTATAGTTAGTGTCTTAGTTCGGTCATCCTAATTTTAATAAATGTTAAATATAGTATTGATAAAATATACAATTTAAGTATATTTCATCAATGACTATAGGTATATTGCATGTACAACCTTAACTTAACTATATACTTAACTTAATCACTGAACAATGGTATTATGAAAGCAAGCTTTTAAACCAACTACTAAGATATTAATTATGCAATGAACATTTTAAAATAAGATTCAATTATATATTTTAACTTATATTTTCTTAGAAAAATTTAGGAAAATTTTACCGGCAGTGAGCATTGAAAATAAAGTATCGCTGTTATCAAGTGATGATGATGTTGGAGATAAAGTAAAAAATAGGGAAATTGAGTTTGATTTAACTTCTAGCTTAATAAGCGCTATTAAGGTCCGTCCTCCATTGTTTGATCATAGAATGATCTTAACAGAAAGATCTGAAGCTATTAAAAACATACTATGGAATGAAGTTTATGCTGAACTAAATGGTAAGGATATATGCTACAATTTTAATATACCTTTATACAAATTAAATAAATGAACGGTCACATAATGCATTCACATATTATATTATACTATTAATACCAAACAATGTGTGATATTAAGTACTGTATATAATTGGTTAATGGTTTGTAATGTTAAAGGTCTGATTACCATTGATGAATTAAAAAAGAAATGGAAGTACCTAAAAGAAAAATATGTACGTGAAAGACAAAAACCAAAAAAAAGTGAAAATACTAGAAAAGGTAGAAGAACAAAGTGGTTGCATTACAGTCATCTGTCGTTCCTGGAAGAAGTTATAACATGTCCTGACAAAAAGTAGCTATTCCATTTCTTAAAACCTTTAAATAAGTACTAAATACCTAACATTTTTAATCCAAATACTTGCAGGACTACTAGTATTTTAAATTCAAGTTTAAACAACACTTATTCTGAAGACTTTTCTCAAAGTATAGCTATCGCTAGGGAGCAAAAAAGAAAAGAAAGTATGCACATTTGAAGTAGTATGACTTAAATATTTATTTTCTGTTGTGTATATTACACCTACTTGTGATATTTTTACTCTTTATTTATTTATAAATAGTATTTTTACTCTTTATTTATTTATAAATAATATTTTCACTCATAAATTAGTTTAATTAGTGTTTTATATTTCAGTTTAATTTTGATATCTATATATGAATATTGAGCGATTGTAAACTCTGTCAGTCTTATATTCTTACTTGTAATGGTATATGGAAACGCTGTCAGTGCTAAGGATTTGCTTATGTAAAACTTATAATATATTTCAACCAAAAATTAAATAAATTGATAGTGTTAGAGAACGCTATAAATAGTTGGTACAATAGATTTATATTAGACTTAGAAGTTAGAATATCTACACAGTGTATCACACATTTTTGTTCACAGTTAAAAATATTATAACATAACATACCTAGGTTCATATTTTATGATTATTATAATCATTTATGATAATACACATTACAATAATTTATATAATTTGTTCAAATAATAATTATTATTATTATTAATTTTTATTTATTTAAGCTTCAACAACTGAGGCCATTAGCTGTAGGTTGTCCCTGTAGGGTTTTGGAACTGTAGGTTAGCCTAACCTAACTATAGGGTTATGGAACACGTATGTGTTTGTTTGGTAGAATTTCTAGTGGGCACCCGTAGGTTTTTGCCATGCCTGGTTGGGGGAGGGCGGCCTCTCTCTCCGGACACCGTGACTACCCGGAGAGAAGTGCCGCCCGCGACCGAATTTGAACCGGCGACGGTACGCATTGCAACCGACTCATTATCCGACTCCGCCCCCCTTTATTATTATTTTTATTTTTACGGATACATAACTATTATTTAATGAAGACAATTATTATTATAAAAATTATGACTTAAAAAAATAATAATTGGTATATTTTATTAATTTTACATTGTTGTTTGATTTTCTTTACTGACGGAGTTTACATGAATTGAATTTTATTTTATTTTTTTCACTGATGAAAACCCATTATACCTGGAATAGTTAACACTAAAAAAAGGTTTACATGGGCCTATAAATTTAAATATCACCCAACAGTTAACATAACTGTGCATTATTGTATATTATAAATATTAGTATATACAAGTATAATAGTCTAATAATTACAATTGTACCTTTCTAGAAAATAATCACAACTCCCGACGACACTTGCTAAATGAGCATAAAATGCCAAGCCCTGTATTATCAGCAGAACTAAACGAGGACCAACGTGATTTTGATGCTGCTTTTGGAAACTACTTAATGGCATTGATGAAAGACTTGCCTATAAAAAAGCGAAAAATGTTACAAAGTCAGTTTATAGCATCTGTTGTAACTGCTGCTCAGGATTCAGAGTGATGTGCTATAACTAGCATTTATATAATATAATATGGACAGACTCATAAACATATAAATTATTTGTATTTGTGGGAATGTTTTTTAAAATTTTTTATGAATATTAATAAATGAGATTAACAAATGTTTTTTATTATTTATTATTAATCCTCGGCAGCAGTTAGTAGCATAAGTCATTGGGATTATCAAAAAAATATACTTACATTACATACGCTTACATAAAGCGACTATTAAGCTTATACGTTGATGAGTATTATAATTTATTTATTAATTTTGAAATGATTAATTTGATTATTGACTTTGTTGAATCTTCAGAGTTGCTAAATGATGTGGATGTATTTTCTGAGATATTGTCTTTTTTTCACATACTCATGGTAATTTATAGGTATAACGTTTGATACTAATATTACAATTTACACTTAACAGTTAATACTTGAAAATATTATTTTGCTGTAGTTGCCTTTCCAATTCTATAAAAATATATAGTTTCATGATTTCATCAGAAGCTAATTATCTATAGAAAAAAAAACAGGTCAAACATTTAAAAATATGAAGTCTGTGTCACTCATAATTTTTACCTTAATATAGTAGTTATAGTTTCTCTTTCAAAATTTATATAAAAATGCAGTTTTCTAAGGGGTGTTCTTTAACGTTTTAGGGAAACAAGTATTGGTAGTTACCCAAACATAGTTGAAGTCATTCGCATACAATTTACTACTAAAATAGAAGTCTTTGTAAATATTAAATAGTTATGCTGTACAAGTAGATACTAAGAATTTTGTAGTCTGCAGAAATAATGCTGTAATTATTTATTACATAAAATACAATTTTGAGAAAAAAATATTGATGTAGGAAATTTTTATCTCCAATTGGAATATCTGATGTAGTGCAACTGTAGCCTGTGGCTATGGGTAGTAGTAATATTTGGAGAGTGAAAATTATGTTATAAATGTATATCTGTTACAGGCGATGTAAACATTGCCTGGTCAATGTAAACCACACATTTTTTTTAACCGACTAATATTATTTTTTATTACTATTATAAATTATAATCATTAACTATTTATAGTATTGATTTTTTTTAAGAACAATCATTATTAATTTTATTTATGTACCATAATATTACAAATATTTTGGATGGAATAACAAAAAAAAATTAACAAGTATCATTATTTTATTTTTATCATAAATTATAATTTTATTATTACCTATTTATTTGAACAAGATTTTGAAGCATGGCACTTGGAATTACATAGCCTATCTGCTTTCCTACATTTGGTTGTTAAATAGGCTGTACGATAAGTAACAAAAATAAGTTTATAGTGTTTCAAAAAATTCATAGATTATAGTATTATGATACATAAATAAAATTAATAATGATTGTTAAAAAAAAAATCAATACTATAGATATTAGATAGGTAATAATAATAAAAAATTAATATTAGTTGGTTAAAAAAAAATTTGTGGTATACATTGCCCGGGCAGGACCACATTGACCGGCCACTGTACGCATTGTAACATATCTAACCACCAAATTATTAAATCGTTTAATAACAGTTTCAAATGTTTTTTTTGTATACTATGTCGCTATCTATACTACCCAGCAATAAGCAATATTTATTACACTATCGTCTCTTGTCAACTATCCAATCCACTGTAGATACCTACATGAAATGTTCACTGAATGGTTATATTTGAATTTTTTTTTACACCATCAGATTTCCTAAATAAATACTCATATTGAGCTATTTTTAAATATATGAAATTTTAGATTTATTAAGTTTTTTTAAAATGAATGTCGGTAAAAAATTTTTATTCTGTCAAAAACTTGCCAATGCTGTAGTGGTCAGTCCATAGATGAATATAACAGTAATATATTAACTATGTATGGGCCAGTCACTTGTAATGTTCTTACTTCTTACTCAATAGTCATTGCAGTCGGCACTCGACACTCATCGTCGGCCACGGACAGGGGCGGCTCCAGAGACTTGGAAGGCCTAAGCCCAGTCATAGTTTTCAGATAAGATTGAGATACCTATTATTATACTTCTTTGTAATTTTGTTTTCAACAATATACATTTTTTTTAGAAATACTGGCTTGGGAGGGATCGCGGCCCCTAGGGCCCCCCTGGACCCTCCCCTGGCTACAGACTAGATATTTTAAGATATATCTTAGACCGCAGCACTGCTGTAGATGGAAATGATAGAATTAAAAAATTAAATGGATCCTATCGACAGCGGCCGTAGACCGCAGCGTCGATGTTATTTTACAACAACTGATAAGGTTCATTATCTCCTCACTGGCTCGATGATACAAGTTCGTAAGCAATGATAAGACATCAAGAATTCAAGACGACTGCCGCGTGATAAACTGCTTAATGCTCACGAGACACGAATCACGATACAGCCAAGTGCGAACGTGAAGCATTCAATCATTGTGCCTACTACTTTTATGTAGGCAATTAAAATAATATTTTCGACGAGAGTAATTGAGACCCGTTAGTCTGCAATTAGTAAGTTCGTCGGCGTACGGAAACTACAATCACGCCTCTGCACCATGGACGGTGTCGTGGAACACGTTTACGCTGATCCAAGCGTACCACCAGTTATCGGTGAGTCCACAGATCTCTACTTTATGTCATTGAATAATTTTTCTATGATACGATGGTTCTAATTATTTTCTATAACCTACTCATGTACAACACATTGTCCAAGTGTATAGAATTCCAACATAGGGTTGCCATAATTTAGTCAAGTAAAACCGGGACAGACAGAAAAATAGTAAATAAAGTATGTTTGTTACATTTAATATAATCGACTATGTCAGATTTTCCACCGTAGGCAACTTGAAAATAACTTGCAAAAAGTGCAATATGCTTCAAATTAATTTCTACCTTTTTTTTTATAAAACTCCAAGTAATAGAAAACTCGTCACGAAAGTGACATTTTCTTTTTGTGCCATAATATTACAATAACGAATAAAACAATAAAAACGAACAATCTAGGTTACAGCCTACGACCTACGTTCTAATGATGTAAAAGACATTAGTCTGTCTGTGTATCACCCGTATGGCCGTATCGATTATCGATAAAATATAAAAATAAAACATGTAAACTGCACAGTGCATAGCGCACATGGCTTGCTTGTTGTCCTTGAATATTCCCGATATTATTATTTTATTTAGCCTATAGGATTTATCAATTATTCGTTATCTTTAACATTAAAATGTTGACTATTGATTTCAATTATTTTAATTTTTTCCTAAAACCGGGACATTTAGGCGTCCTGAAAACATTTTTCGGGACACCGGGACTCAAAGTCAAAAACTGGTGACAGTTCCGGTTTTCCGGGACGTATGGCAACCCTATTCCAACACTTATGTTCGATCCTAATGAAATGTTGAGTTATATGTTGAAAGTTTTGTGTTTTATTTTGTAGCCATTACAGAAGTGGGTCATCTGAATTCAACAGCATCTTTAGATTGTGGCATGGCAATTGAGAATACATCTAATAGACCTGTATTAAAAATATTCAATCAACACGGTGGTACAGTCGAAGAAGAAGATCCTAGTAGAAAGGAAAACGGAAAAAAATACTTAATTTTGAGAAATAAAAAAACAAATCAGGTAGGCTGAATAGCTATAAATGCTTAAGTTATGACTATTAGTTAAACATTTTTTTTCATTATTCAAATGTACAATTTATTTTGTTATCTATTTTTGTTCTTTAAATATAATTGTTTACTGCAACAAGTGTAGAAACTAGAGTTTTGTTGTATTATCTAGGTTTCAGTTTATGGTGCCAAAGTGACATATCTTAAAAAGCCAGATTACTTTAAAATGAAAACGTTTGAAGACGAGGCATTGACTGATAAAAATCAAGAGTTTAACTTAGTATTTGGTACTAAAAAGTCAACACGTATTTCAAGGTCTAGAGTTAACAATGCTGTTGATGTTCCAACAGATGTCTTCAATAATATTTCTTGTTCTTGTATGTGTAGATTTTGATATAATTGCCTATTTAGTGTATCATCTTATTATTTTTTCTTTTATAGCTGATGTTTTGGAATCATCATTTTCTAAGACTAGTGAATTTTTAATATATTTACCACAGGGATGTAACCGTTTCTCTAATAAATTAGAAACAGTTTATCCAGTTTCTACATTGTTACTTGAAAATGAAATAGATTTAATGACAGATTATGCAAAAGAAGTGATAAGCATGTTACCAATTTCTTCTGACAATCAAGAGTAAGTTACTCTGAAAATTAAATTATTTATTTAAGTTCAAGGAAATTAATTTAAATCATTTTACAAGAATTAAAAATTTAATACAACGTTACCATAGTCTTAAAATATTAATTCAATAATTTTTTAATGGTAATCAGGCATTTAAATGATTATGTTTATTTTAAATTTATGTAATTTTTACATTTCAAGTGAGTGAGAAAATATGTTATAGATTAGACATTCTCATTTTTTTTTTCATAGACCATATTAACTATGTTGTGGATCAGTTGCATATTATTAATGATTAATGAATAATGAGTAAAAATACAACTATTCAAAATGTTAAATTAGTTAAATAATGTTATGTATTAGTGATACATGTAACATAGCTCATCAGCTCCAACATCTTTGTTTGAATAATATTTCAGTTTTAATTATTGAAGAAGTGTAGCTGGTAAATGAGTTTTATGTAGACATACAAATAAATTTAGCTTTTATTTTAATGCATGTTTTTGTCTTGTTTTTATTATCACCAAGTACATTTTTGTGGCTTGGGTCTATTATTTTAAATGATGTATTTAATTTGCAGTTTATCACCATTTTTCATAACAATTTTGAACCGACTATCTCATAAAACTGTTCAGAATATCTGCTTACTTTCCTTTGCTGATGGACTGATTGAATTATTGAAAACAAAATCATCTGACTTAAATTTTAAAAACATTGAAATTTATCCAAATTCTGAAGTAATAAATTTTAAGGTGTTGGATAATTTTGTTGAATACAGTGTAACGGGAAGGTAAAAACAATATTCAAAATAATTAATACATTTAATTTAGTTGTATGTATTTTAATTTTTTAGAGACTTAACATCCAAGATGAAGGATAAAGCTGTATGCCATATAATTATAATTATGATGTTAATCAACATGTATACATTTGACTTAAGTTGGATATCACCATTTCTCCCATCAAGTAGTCAAAAGAGGTAATTTCACATTATAATATT